GGACATGTTCTATGTGCTGGCCAGGCAGGCTCTGCTCTGGTGAGGATTAGGATTCCAGACTTCGGGCAGGGGTCCTGCCACCTCGTGCCCAGGGTTGAGGCAAGACCCAGGCCCGCAGCCTTGTCATCCCCGCTCAGTGCTCCAGGAGCACTGTCCTTCATCCTCCCTTGGCATGTGCTGACCCAAGGCAGCGTCCATTGGGTCAAAAAGGGAGAAGTCAGCTTTGGCTTCCTACCCTCATAAATAGGATTAGTGCTACTGTAGAGATATAACAATGCACGAGAGTTTTGAGAGCTTCTCTTGATGAAGCCATGTGTGCTAGCCACCACTTTTGGGAGCTGTTCTGCTCTGTATTCCTGCTCTGCTGTCAGGAGGTGTGAGTGAATCAGTGCAGTGAATACAGAATCACGGAGTGGGTAGGAAAGGACCACAGAGGGTGATCTGGTACAACCCCCCTGCTCAGGGTCATCCCAGATGACCCTGCATCCAGACAGTTTTTTAATATCTCCAGACAGGGAGACTCTGCAGTCTCTCTGAGAAATCTGTTCTAGTGCTCAGTCACCCACACACTGAAGAAGTTCTTCCTCGTATTCAGGTGGAACTTCCTGTGCATCAGTTTCTGCCTGGTGCCTCTTGTTCTGTTGGTTGGCACCACTGATAAGAGTCTGGCTCCCTCTAACTCCACACCCACCCTTTAGGTACTTACACATATGGATGTTGTTGTTTCCCCTTAGGAGCTAATCTGACTGCACTAAATAGAATCACAGAATCAGGCTGGGAAAGTCTCATTGAGTCCAACCTTTGACTGAACACCACCAACTACACCATTCCAACTACCATGGCACTTGCTACCATTTACAGTCTGTTCTTAAACACCTCTCGGAACAGGGACTCTACCACCCCTCCAGGGCCGCCTGTTCCAGTGGTTAAAACCCTTTCTGTGGAGATGCAGTCACCTTGTGGTATGCAGTGTGGGAGTATGCACCTGTATCCCAGAATACCTGCTTTTGCAGGCATTGCTCAAGCTAATACAACCTTGGAAATCCACGTTTTTCACTTCATTGGCACTTCTGCATTAAAGGGTTTTGTGAGGACTCTCTGGTCCTTCCTATGCAGGACCCCAAGGGTGCTGCCAAATCCACATTCAGCACATATTCATGTATTTACTTGATTTCAAGGAAAAAAGAAAGTAGAATTATTTCATTAAATAACTTTATAATGTAGTCCAATCTGAAGACTTTTTAGCTGGCAATGGAACAGTTTATGTAAAATAAATGCCTTTTAGTTCTCTGGAGCACCGAGAGCATCAGCCAAGACCACTGGGCGGAGCACCCGACTTGTGCAAATGTATTTTGCTCTGGAGGCACAAAAGGCCTCCTTGACATAGCATAGGAAATTCGGATATGTATAAAAATATCTAAAATATAAGTATTAATTTGATGCCTAAATAATTATATAGTGTACAGAAATTAATCATATTCCTTTTGGCATCTGTGCTAAAACTATATTTCATTCCTAATTTATCATTTCCACTATCTTGTGGACCCCAACTTTTGTTGCCCTTCCCCATAAATAAGCCCATTGTCTCTAGTACCACCCTTTCCTTTATTATCTTCTGTTTGCAACTATTACCTTCAGCTATAGTAACTTTTATTCCCACAGCATCACAGAGAATCCAGAGAGATGCAGCCTGGAATCCCAAGGGAACAAGACTGCTTGTAAACCTGTAGAGAGAGATGCCAAGAAATTTCCCTGGCAGCAGGATAATCAACGGGCAATATTGGGAAGCTAGGACCTGATGCTCTCAGGTGTGAGAGGACTGGCAAGAAATAGCATGTTAAATTTGTCTAATTATGTTTCACAACAAGACAAAAAGAAAACTCACAAGCTGTAGAGTTTATCTCTAGAAATCTTAAGTATTTGAGATTTTTTCATGGATTGAAACTTTATATTTTATCACTATAATTATACTACACAGGTCTTTAAGTCCTCTTTGGACAGTAAGAGATCTCTGAGAGAAAAGTAGATCTTTCACTGGTTTTCTGTTGCTTAAAAGCTTCTGATATCTATAGCATATATATATATATATATATATATATAATCTATATTTCACATTATCTTAGTGTGAAAGCTCTTCCCAATTACCTCCTTTAAAACTACAGCACTTGCAGAAATTAATCACATAGTTAGTCTATATTAATAGATTTCTTCCTGAGTGTCCCCAAAATACAGGCTAATTATGTGGCTAATGCACTTTTTTACATATTTATGTTAGATTCATCTCCAAGTTAGCTAATGTAAAAAAGTGACTAGGAACATAAAGGCAAGATGAAATCACCGGTCTCCTACTCCAAAGTGTTGCAGTTCATTAAAAATATTTTAAAATCCAAATTATTTCAATACACCATGATTGTATGTATGCTTTAAACAAAGCTTTATTTTGGGAAGCTTAAAAACTTAATGTAAGTGCAAAATCATAAATGTTTATGTATTTGTTTATGAATCATAAACTTATAATGAATTTGCTTTATATTAAAATTTAGACAAGGAAAAATATTTTCTACTTCAACTGGGACCTTTTAAATCTAGGCTCAGTTTTGGAATACCATTTTACTTGTGTCCTACTCATATTTAAAAGCTGAAGTTTATTTCAGGCATGCCACTATCACTTTCAAATAGCCAGGAATTTCAGTCCAGCTGAGCTTACTGTAGATCTTAACATGGATAGGTTTCAATTCCCAAGTAACGTTTTGAAAATAGAAGATCTTTGTCACTACAATGTTCATTCTGCTGCACAGTAAACTGAAATGTGGCACACACTAAACTTTATTCACCTCAGCTGTATTGCTCTCTAAAAGCTGGAATTTTTCTCAGCTTGCACTAAAATATGACCTACAGACACAGCTATGTTATTGGCATATATTGTCTGTTATACAAAAAAAACCCCACTCCTTTTAAAACATGGTCTACCAGCTAAGTATAAGCTATACCAATGAAATTACTCTTCTGGCAGGATTAGCAGCACTTAATTTTTGATTCCTCAGTATGGCTGTATTAGTAAACTCTTCACAATGGAGATCAGCTCCACAAAAGTTCATACAGGTGCCAGAATATCCTGCTTCTCTAGAGTGTCAGCATTTGCTGCAGAACTCATATGTAAAAGGAAAAACAGCTCCTGTGGCTCCCATGAAGACCAGACTGACTACGCAGCAGTGTGATATTCCAGCTCCAATGATGGACCAACCTAACCATCGCAGTGGGATGCTGCATTAATGCAGTCTTTCTGGCATCTCACAGCACATCTCCTGCAAGCAACACTGACTTCCTTTCCAAAAAAGTAATTTCTCCCAGTAGCTTCTGCAGTTAAAAATCTGCAGTATTTTGGATATGTGCCAATGACTTAGATTAAAAATCATTGGTTATGAAATGTAAAAGAAAAAAAGACCCTTCCTGGATTGCATGTACCTTTATTTATCATTCATACAAACATCATCCTAAGTATAGCTGCCACAGAACTCTCTGGATGCTATTTGAGAAGCTACAGCCACCAGTGTAAGAGGGGTTCTTAAGCGTATGGAGAGTGCCTGGTGTCTAGTCCAGGTGCTAGTCTAGGACTAAAGATTCTGACAGTACCAGTCAAACATCTCTGCCTGTGCTGTGAAAGCACAAGGTTAGAAACAGTTAAGTCATTAAGGGCTTGGTGATTGATCCATCTCTGTATCTTCTGAACCTACAAGAAAGATGGAGATTTGCATGGGGCATGTAGTGACAGGACAAGGAGGAATGGTTTCAAACTGAAAGACAGTAGGTTTAGATTAGATACTGGGAAGAAGTTTTGCACTTTGAGGGTGGTGAGACACTGGAACAAAATGCCCAGAGAAGCTGTTGAACAGCTTTCCTGGAAATGTTCAAGGCCAGGTTGGATGGGGCTTTGAGAAACCTGATCTAGTGGAAGGCATCCCTGCCCATGGCGGGGGGATTGGAACTATATCATCTTTAAGGGCCTTCCAACCCAAACCATTCTATGATTCTATGAATCAGTTTCATCCTGTACATCACTGTGACACTGTATGAGACACCAGTCAAAAAAAGGAACTTCCAAACCCATATTCTGTCCCCATAAACAAATACATAGATGAGCACTGCCAACCTGAAGAAACTGGAGTTTAAATGCAAACACCTGATTACATTTGCATAGTTGTGAAAATTTATTAGTTACAGTGTAATGAAAATCAACTTTTTTGGTACAGGCAGAAGTAAAAACATATTTTATATAGAAAAAAATCACAGCTTTAAAAACTGACTTACATAGTTTAAAATGAGTAAATTTGGTTGTATTTCAAGGCATTGGACTTTAATACTTAATTTTATGCCAAACCATCACACAGTGCAAGAAATATTCTGCAACAAATTCCATACAGCAGTCTTCAGAGTATTTAGTCTCACAGAATCTCATGGTGGCAAAAAATATACTGAATACTTTTCCATTTAAACAGAAAACATTGCTGAAGTTACATTTTTCTTTCTTCACATACTCTCTATTACAAAAATATCAAATTGCAAATTTGACAGTGTATTCTACAAATAAATGCATCATAAGCAACAGGAATTGCAACTTTGGCACAGCTACTTTACAAAGTGTATTATAAAAATAAATTATATGGCAAATATCAAACAAAATCAAGCATGTGCCTCAGGCTTTGCAATTAAGAGTGAAATTCAGCTGGCAGAAAGACTGCTGCTCTCCCTCTGATTAGATACTTTTAAAATACCAGCAAGGCCATTGGTTTTTAAAGAAAATATATATATATAAAACCTAATGGAAGCACTAATACTTCCTCAAGTAATCAGTAGCACAAAGTGACCCTGGTGTTGATGGCAGAGAGCTTCTACAATGATCCATCCACAGGCATGGAGGGTAGTGCACACAGAGAGCTCTAGCGGGCGGTAACTCATCTAGAGTTCACGCGTAACTGGTGAATGATGACACTCTCTAAAAGAAAAGAGAGCAAAACATTTGGGTTTATGAAACTACAAACGCAGTGCAGCTTACTTTAAAGAACAACTACAAAGGCAGTGCAAGGCATTTTTCTAAAAAAGTCTCACAAACTCACTCTCACATCACTGCTTGATAAAAGTGTCCTGGCTAATGCTACAAGGGGAAACTAAATTAGTACCTGTCGAGGGCTCAGAGGGCCTTGGTTTCCACTTCAATGTCAACAGAATCATTTGGTTGTCCATAGGGAAAAAGGAGTAATACAGTTGAATGGACTAAAGCAGAGGGACACCAAAGTTCCAGTTCCACATCCAAACTCGATAGAGAAAGACTTAGAGTTGGGCGTCTAATACATTGTCTAAGCAACTTCTTCACAAATCTGGTGGCAATTCATAAATAGGGATGAGGAAGAGCTAGGGGGTCATTTCTCAATTTTTAATTTAAACTTGGTTTATAAACCTATGCTGTATTTATTCAGCAAGTTGTCTTGAATTTTGCTACTGACCTTAATGGGGATAAATTTCAGCCACGGCATGCAAAACTGTCTCGGCATTTTCTTTAAAAGGCTGGATTTAATTTTGTCCTGTGTGTAGTATCAGAGGTCCTTGACCCTGATTAATCTACTGAAGTACTAATGGCCTGGTCTTCTGTTCTTCTATATATACAGCTCTTACAGGCAACTTTTTAAATATAACAATTTAACTGTCAATTAACATTTTTCTCCAAAGAGGTGTATTTTATGCATTTCAAATAATGTGACTGTACCAATACTAATTCAAGCAACAGTTATACATTTTCAGAAATATTCATCTTAATTGAAATTACTTTTGTTACCTTCCTTTCTCAATAGCCTGAAGATTTTTCAAAATTTACAGGACCCAAGAAATGACAGTATTGATATAATTTTTGCCTTCTACATTTGTATTCCTTTATCTGCTTCCTAATTAATATTTGCAAGGTGTTTCATGAAGTTGTATTCTAAGAAAGAAAAATGAAAATGTTTTCCATGTACTCTTACTGCCAGAAGTTTGCCACTAGATGGCAGATCCCAGTGCTGCTTTTCAGTTGTGGTGAAGTAAGAGCAGGGCTGAGGCAACGTCCAATAAAATACGTTAAGGCAAATGAAATAATAGAATTTCCCAAATTGAAAGTATTTCTTTTTCATAAAATTTATCAATAACAAAATATTTTCAACAAGAAATGTACACCAGTTCCACCATATCTGAGCAGTGAATGTGAAAGAACCACAAACTATTACACGATTTTACCTTACTGTTCTAACTGTGCTGTTCTAACTTGAAGCTCTTGTGGAATATGATGTACATTTACAAATTATTTTCTTAATATTAAAAGTATTTTTTAAGAAAAAAATTAATATTCACTGTGCACATTTAATAAGGACACAAAATTCTAAAAAAATTGGCAGCAGAAAAATATCATGCTCCTTGTTAAGGCTCAGTCACTGAATAAACAGCAAAACTACAGTCAATGTCTGAACCAGACACCTTTCTCCTACAAACCCAAAGAGTAGTTGTGCAGAAAAAAGTAGGAGAAAAAATAATTTTTTAAAAAATCAAATAATTTCCACTGATATTTATCTTTCATTCATTTCTCACACACCTAGAGAACACACACTCTAAGTTTGTCTCAGTTGTTTCTACTTGACATCCTTACATATTGATTTGTATGTATGAATATATATATTATGTACACACACACACACGTGTAGTTACTAAAAGAGGTGTCTGAACAGTTACTGAGCTAAAATTATAGTAGGGCCAATTTTGTCAGAGTTCTTTTGGGCCACCCTCTGTAGGAATATGATTATATTTGAAGGATATTATTAAATAAATTTTTTCTAGGGTTCTAGATTGGAATATTTCAAGGAGCTAAGTATTCACTTAAATAAAACAATTTATTTTAATGACAGAAAAAGAAAATTAAGTTAATGTAAAACAGCTAGTTGTGCTTTCAGTCCTACTGATGTAAAGCAGAACTTCTTGAGGAAACATATCAGGATACCAGTTCACATAATGAAGCACATCAAGTGACATTTTAAGATATAAAGTTTAATTTCTCCTTACAATATATACAAGTATCACCAGATAATACAAAAATGAATCTACCACAGACAATGCACACCCAAGCAACAGAAGAGAATCATACATCAGTATTTCTGTTTTTAAAATCCCAAGGAGAGGTTTTTTTTGTTTAGAGAACCATTCACACCTGAGTCTTTCATACCCTCAGAGCTGATAGCTCTGCACCTGACAGTAGTTAACCCTGGTTATGTTTTCAGGAAAAAAAGCCATGGTAAGAGCATGTGTAGGGAGTAAGATTCAAAGTGAAGTTAATATCTATAATGAGAAATATTGCATATAATTTTGCCCGAAAGAGCTCAAGCAAAATAACAAGAGCATAACTCACACTGACTCAGGGGAGAAAACTATTCCCCTAAATGAAAGCAAGTTCAAAAGATGAGCTCACAAAAACTCCTGCCAGCAAACTGTGTTTCAAAGCAAGTCAATGAAATTGGCCACTGATGTGTGATGGGAACATATAATTGGTCTGAATATTGTCCTGACTGTTGCAGCTTATGCCAAGTACCTGAAACCCAGCTGGACAGTAGCTTACTCTATTTAAAGACCTGCTGTTCCTCATTTGATCAAAATTACTGAATATTCATGTAAATATTGAGAATATTTTAGAATCTATATGGCATATTTCAAGCCGTGACATATGACTTGGTATCCTGTTAGCATGGATCAACATATTAATGTGGCTTTAGTGATTACTCCCATAGTGATAATTAATATGTGCTACAAGTGGTTTGAGGTTTAAATACAGTGACCTGTTCTCCATGGGCATATTACAAAGAGTCACAGTGTTTGGTTTTTGAAAAATCACACTAACACGTGTCACAAAAGGAAAAAAGGTGAGTAAAGTAAATAAAAATCTCTGTTTTTCTTCTACCATTTGCTTAGGATGTTTACTGTTCTGAGAGAAATCCCTCTAGGCATTACAGTTGAAGCTCCGTGCTCCTTTTTCAGTCACACTTACTCAAATGTATTGATCTACTAATGACTACATTAGCAATACCCCTATGTAGCACTAAGTCTGGTGATGGGATGTAACTCAGGAACACAGTAGAAAACTTGCTGGTAACTAGACTTAAAATTAGAGAGATGATCTTGATTGACAGGGTGCACCTTCTCAATCCATGTGTGCTGCTCATGAACAGGCTGGCATTTTGCCTGCTCTTCCCCCTCTCCACCTTACTACTGATGCTAAGCCATATATTACTGCTGCTGGGCTTGAGTTATCACAACTGCAAACACGGCCATGTCATCAGCCAAAACAGGGCTTCTCTCCAGCTGACACTGAATATGACTAGAAGTACAAAGATTACTCAGTCATCTTAGTTCCTGACACAGCATTGTAACTATCATGATTCTGAGTGCATTATTTTGCTGCTGAAATTGTTCCACTTCATTACAAAAAACCCAAACAAAATGACAAAAAAGTTAAGAGAGAGAAAGCATAAGGATGAGTGATTCCAAATGATCATTTAGGAAGGCTTAGTTTATTACGCGTTGTAATCCAGTAATGTAGAATACACAAAAGCCCTGTAAATAAAGCCCTAATATTATCCTTTGGATGTGTCAGAGATTGATTCTTTGGTGCCTAGTAAAATCTGAGGTCTGAACAATGCTTGTCCTTGTGGCATTTGTGACATCATCTTGTGTTCATTCTTTGATGCTGTATGAAGGTGAGCTCATGCCCTACTCTTCCACACAGTGAGGCACTGCTAAGGTCTTGCTCCTCTTCTCTGTCGTCCTTTTCATTAAGCTGGAAAAACTTCTTATTCTGGACATCCCTATCGCTCTGCCAGGTTTGCATGAAATTGGTTGGTTATTCAGTGTTATTCATTAGGGAAGGAGAGATGGAAGGATGGATGAGCACAGACACTTCATCTTATAAGCCTCCTTTTCAACAGGGTCAGGCTCAAAGGCAGCCTTTGGAACAGGGACACAGATCTGGGGGGGGGCTCCCTCCTAGTTCAATATCCTGACCCCTCAACCATTCCCTTGTTTCTGCTCAGCAAATACTGAAGCATTCCATGCAGAACGGCACAGCCTTTCCAGGAGGGAATGAGAATGCCACCTTCTTCCTCCTCAGCTGTCAGTGCTACTAGTGAACCTGCCTGCAGCTGATGTGGATTTGAGTCTCCTCAGATACTGTCTCCTACCTTTGAAAAAAGGTTTCAATCAAAAGCTTTTGAAAATAAGCAGCACTACCCCTGCATTTGTGTGGTATTTGATCTACTAGAAGGCATTCATGATCCTAGAGTCATTTTAAAACACCAACTGGTTTCCTGTGCCCTCCTTCTTTCTTTTTCTGGCCTGTGAGCCTGGCACTAAGTTATGTTAAAGCCAGCCTTTACGCTTTTTTGCCAGATTCCTTTTCATTCAGATCAGTTTCCCAGTTAAATTCAAATACTTTTGCCAGCTCAAAGGACAACCATATAGTCAGTGAGTACTTTCTTGCCTGGAGGTGACAAAGACAGGACTAGAGCTTTTCAGTCGAGTGTGGAGTTATATCCTGACTTTAAGTGACCATGAAATCCTGGTTTGACTTAAAAGCCTCGGGGGAAATACAAGAATACCTGCATTATGGATCTCAATGAGGTACAGCAGATGCAATGCTACATTTAAGTCATAATAGAAACACTGACTAGATAAGGTCTGTGGAAGAACAGCAGGAAGATCTTCAGGATTCCTCTTGGGCTTCGGCATTGTTTTTAGATTTGGTTGTTTAAATTGCCTTTTGGAGCTGACCTACTGAATGGAGTGTCTTACTGTATTCATTAAACATAACTGTCTTCAGAGGTAATTTCAGTGTAATACAAATAGTTAGGCTTGAACTTTTAAGGCTTCTGAACTATAGGCTTTCTTCCCATCTTACCCTTCTTCTACCTTCAGGAAACAAGAATATTAGATCAATTAAAACAGATGTCAAAAGTTTTGAGTATAACAAAATACCTGGTTTTAGCTAACAGTTTAACCAGCTGCCTGATTCCAGCTCTTTAGACTTCATTTTTCTTTAGACACATTTTTGTTGTGCAGCCCCTGGGGAAAAATAACAGGATCCTAAGTCTGACCTCTCTGGAATTTCTGAAGTCTGGCTCATCAAATCCTACTGACCCTACAGGAGGAACTCCCAGCCTGTGCCTGCAATTCTGGCTCTAGCTGTGCCAGTTTGTGTGCCCTAGATTTCAGGTACTGTGAGGCTGGCTTGTTTCTTCAGGAGAATTAGTTTCTTATACCTAAAACAAAACCAAAATTTTCAATCACAGGCACACATAGAACACTGAATTATGGCAACAGTTAACTAAGGACCTAAGTTTCTTTGACACAAGGAAGGCTTAAGGCAGCTGTATCAAGCTACATTAGCTTGGGGATAATGTTTGCAATATTATTTGACTGTTTTGACCTTACAACTTTCTTCAATGACAGTATTTAGAGTGAATATCCAGAAAAAAACAGCTTTTTTTTTCTTTAAATATCTGTTAAAAAGTCTGTGTTACAAAAAGAACAGTAAGATCTCAGCAACAATTTATTGACATACTGAGGCTTTTAAGTGATAAGAATTCCTTGAGAGGATCTGATGTATTTCTGACATATTAACTCACATTGCTTGCTAATGCCAGTTTCCAAGTTTTATCTGAAGTACTGGGAATAGGAGTTATGAAAAAATGCTACTAATACTAATCTGATTTTTGGATGTTATAGGAACTAGAACCTTAAAATTAACAAGCATTTCAGGTGCTACACATGTAAAAAACTAAAACCTACTTTTTTTTTTTTTTAATGTGGCAAAGAAAAAATGCCCTTCATGTGAATAATAAAATGCCAGCTTTACAATGGGATAATTATCATATCTGTATGTGAAATTAGAGAAGCAATGGAAAGCAGATGGAAAACTAAACATTGCTTGGATTGAATATAATTTTGTTGACCTTTGGTGACAGAGTTCTTCCATCAGATATCTTCTCCCAGACCAAATTTCATATTTCACCAACCAGTGCATTTTCCTTTCTGTGAATTTTATTTATAATTTATTGGTGGTCTTCCCACTTTGCTCTCTGTTTTAACCACTGGGCCCTTCACAGCTTGCTGAGGTGGCTGAAGCATTATATAACTTTAAACCCGTCATTTATTGGTTTGCTCAGCTTCATTTCTTTTGGTTGTGACTTTCTTCTGTGAAAATTGATCGCTTAATGTGCTTTAAGAACTCTACTGTTATTAAATAAACAATCATTAACAATCATCAGCATCCACACTTTTTCCATGCCAGAAAAATTCATTAAAACATGCTTAAAAAATGCAAACACACAGCTGAGGAAATCACAAAGAGGGAAGGAAAAATTATGAATCACCATGGTATTGTAAGGCAGTCTTAATTTTATGACAAAATATTTTAAACAACTGAAAAGTGAGGGTAATTTCCTTACCAAAGCCTCTCTCTTTCATTGTGTGTACCTGAGCCATGCCTTTAGATAGCAATTCCTGCCACCAGCAGGCTGTGCTGACTTACCCTCTAAGATGTAAGGAGGCTTGGGAAGTAAGGTTTCAATGTAAGACCCAAGCAGGAAAACTGAAAACCTAGTCAGGTCAATGGAATGAGTTGCTTCATAGCCATTAGTGGTCTTTGGAGCAGGCACAAATGAATTGTATTGATTTTTGCCAGACAATGTTTCTCAAGCTTTTGCTGAAGACTAAACACCTTCTGGCTCACAAGCCTTCATCTGAGCCCTGAGCTAGCAGTATTCCAGTGTGTGTAAGTCAGGGACCTGGTTCTAGGTGTTGTCTACAAGTATTGACTGTCTCTGGAAGAATTAAATTGCTGCCAAACATTGTGCAACATCCCTATGCCCCTGAATTTAGTAACTATCTTGAGAAAGCAGCTCACCACTGAGAAATGGTGATTTTCATGGGAGGCTCCTAGAGAGGCCACATGGTCACATGGTGCCCATCCTTCCTCTCTTCCTCTTCCACACATGAGGTACTGGCTTTCATTAAACAGGACCTCAAGTGTGCATGGCAAGACTTTTGGCATTGCTTCCCTAGGCCATGTGGCATTTCAGTAATGTCATTAAGGCAGGAAGGAAAGTAGACCGTGCAGCAGCAAAGGTGGAAAACAATCTAGTTAAAGTGACCAAACCTCCTTTGATCTACTAAGAAGTGACCCAGTCTATCACTAAGAATTCCCAATACAGATTAATAACCTATTTCAGTTACCCATTCTCACTTCCTAGACTGAAAACTAGCCTGGCATAAAATTGCCTTTTTGACAGGTTTTTTTTTTTTTTTTTTAACTTGAGTAAGAAAACAAAAGGATTTTGTTATTTAAGTAGTCAGTGCACACACTTATTAGTTTGTTGTTAAGTGACAGCTGCAGGATTTTGTTAGTACAGGCAAACGTGAACAACTACACAGACAAGGGAGCTGACTTCCATGGCAGCAGTAAAACCTGCAGAACGTACCCCCTGAGCCACTGCCATCAGCCCTGACCCCCGCCCAGGGAGGCAGAGCTGCTGGCTGAAGATTTCTTCAGTTCTATTTTCATAGACTGAGTCTCAGCACGAGGCTCGAATTTTGTCACATTTCCTGCTCCTGGGGCTGCCACTACTGGCTTTCCTGCTTTCATACCTTTTGAGACAGGAATGCGGGTGGGTGTAGGTCTCGGGGATGACCCATCCTGTCCTGTCTGCAAAACAAAGAGACAGAGCAAAATGCAGTGAATTAAGGACTTTTTCTCATACATGCTCATCTTATACTTTTCTTTGGTTCTTCATTTACCTCTCAAACAACAATATCCCAAATCATGCCTATTAACAAAGTAATATTCACACTTGGAATCTGGTCATGGCACATACTGCTAGAGCAGGGCCAAAGGCACAGTTGCAATCAAAGATTATCCCAGAGGTGAGGTGCAGGGTTTTGAATCAAGATATCATAAGGAATGGAATTTGTGCAAATCTCCCATTCTACAGCATAACACAGTTCAGGATGCCCTTAGAGGCTACTACAACATTGGTTTGGCTGTCAGGACAGGTAAAATATTAGCATCCTGTATAAACACTAGCACGGGTGTTCAGAACAGCATAGAGTCAGCTGAGGCTAATGATGAACCCAGGATAACTGCCAAATTTTAGGAGCTGGGGCATGATCACTCAGCATTGTAAATAAAACTGAATTTTACTTCCCAAAGTATGCTGGGAAGTAAAATGGCTGGGGCCACTTATTTCTGCACTGGGAAGAGCAGGGGGTTGGGAGAGAAAGAGACAGAGAACAGATCTGGATTTCCTTTTCCTATGGCTATGGCAGGAGGAATGTGGGAAAGGGCTTTCCCCATCCAAGCACAAATCACAGCTTGAGAAACTCTGGTGAGGGTGAAGCTGCTAACCCAAATTTCCAAGGATACCTCAAGGCAGTGTGGACACAGCCATTTTACTATCTCTGCCAGTCTTCTGCCCTGGACAACAGCCTAGCAAGCACACTTATCCTCAAGTTTGAGTAATTCAGATATTTTTTAAAAAAAGAACAGCCTAAGTGGCTCGCTTGGGGGTGGCAGACCCAACACAGCTGCTGTGTCCTTCTGAAGCCCCAGCTGGAGACCAGGCCAAAGCTATCCCATATATCCCAATGGAACGAGTATCCAAATCAGTATCCAATGAGTATCCAAAGCTATCCCATAGCTTTGGCCACATAATGATCTGTGTAAAGGTCAAATCTGGAGCTACCCCATATAAACCACGACTTAAAGAAAATACTTATAAACATGACGATTCTGGAAGGAAATCGGCTTTATCTCCTGCAGTGTGCAATACAGACCCAAATGATAACGGTGACAACTTCAGTGTCTCGCCTGAATTTCCTATGTGACTGACATTTCTGTTCGCATTATGGATTAAGACTTTGATCTGACAAAAAAAGAACAATTCTCCAGAAATCCTGGAATCCTAGCTACACCCACCTGCTAAATGACTAAACTCTGCAACTTATGACATATAAGCAAAGTAAAACTAAACTGCTAAAATAGACTGGACTGGGAGCTCATGTCAGCTGCAACATGCATTTGAACATTTACTTTAAAATGCTCTCCAAATGTTTTTCAGCCAGTGGCATCAGAGTTTTCTGTCTGCATCCTGAGCATGCAAAGGAAAACCATTCCTTAATCTTCTAAGAACAGCTCAAAACCCCATGTGTACACTCAAAAAAAATCACAATTGGAAAACTTGAATGCTGTCTGCCTGACAGGAAGGAAGCCATTTTCAATAAATAAAAGCAACATTTACAATAGCAGTCTAAAGGCTAATATGGAACTCACATGTAGATGTCAAAACAAGTTAGGCCCATACAATTCCGTAGGGCAAAACATGCAAATGCATTCCATCAGCCTTGGAAAATATGTCAACATCCCAGGGAACCCAAATGACAAACATCTTGTACTCCCTGAAAGAGTCCCACAGTGAGTAAACATGAGGCAATCAAATGGAGTAGCTGGAATCTCAGGCATTTCTTCAGCTTTATTCACATGTAAATTATTAACTAAGGATTTGGGTGCTTTCAAGTTACTCATTTCAAGCCTAAATCACTCAAAAGCACTTTGAAAAGAACTCTAACTCGCTTTAAATTTCTTAGTTGCCTTCATTCCAGCATACTAAGGCGTTGATGGAAGCTAGCGCCTACTTCCCAGGCAGCTGCAAAAGCATTTTGTGTTTGCCAAGTGAGATGGCACAAAGGTGCCTCCCCAGCCGGCTTGTCCCCTTGGGCGCGGGAAGGGGCAGCAAGCAGAGAACACATCCAGCCCACGTCTGTAGCATCTGTGCAGAGAGTCCATACGACTGCCTGTCTCTCCATCATTCCTTCCAGCTGTTTGTCTGTAGGCTGCTGTCTTCTGGTGGGTCCAGGAATGTGGCTCCAACCAGAAACTAACCCTTACACAGCTGGAATGGAGTGCCCAAGATGCAACCCTGTGAGACGCTGGGTGATGCAAGCTGGATCTGAGCTGGCAAGGCAAGACATGGTGCTGGAACAGGGACCCAGTGAGGTTACACAAGACATTACTGAGAGCAAGATGAACACATGCATCTGCTATGGTGCAGTCATAATCAGCTCTCACTGCAGACACAGGTGTATTAACCTGTGAAGTTGCAGTAAGGTTAGGTTCCCATTAAAGGAAAAAAGCAATCTGAACATACAGAACACGTAGCATGTTTGAGTAGTTTGTAACAGATCCTGCTTGGTGCATTTTATTGACACACAAAGAGACTGCTTTCATGCATACACTGGCTTTTGGAATATTTTAAGTAAAAAAGTGCTTTTTCAGCATTTGTTCTCAACCTGATCAGGCCCCAGCTTACCCTGGACAGAAATGGTTGAGTTCAGTGACCAACAGACACCTTGTACAACTTGAAATGCCCTGGGCTACTCAAGCAATGTACACCGGGCTGGTAGACAACACAGATGACCCAAGGAGACCTAAAACTTCTGATAAGGCAGCTGGAAGGTAGGTAGACTACTTGACAGCACTGAAAATGGCACTAAAATAAAGCATGTTTAGGTAACTTTATCCTGAAAGGCTGGGATTTGAGATCTAGGCAGATTCGAGATAGTCAGCAGAGCCAGTGGGCAATTCAGCTCACCCAGAAGCTAGCCCTGTCTCAGCTGCATCACCACAGGCCAGCACACAGGCCTCAGTGCTGCCATGGGGAGCACACAGACTACACACTGACTCGGTTGCCCACGCTGAGGCATCTTGTGCCATCTGAGGCGTCCCATCAGCTGCCACTGCAGAAAGGTACCGGTCATTTATCCCTCCCAGCCTCACACACGTCTCAGCTGCCACAGACAGCCAGCAGCACAACACCTCTGCACGGGCAGGTGAGCTGCTCCCTGCACCTCCAGGAGCTCCAGCAGCAGCTTAGAGCAGACATGGGACACCTACACAGAGCTACATTCAGATGCCAATCTCAAACTAAGCGCTGTCCAATTGCAAGTGGCCTTACAGCTGCATAAACACTTGTCCCCTTCGCTCTGGCACCCAGCAGCTTCTCAGCTGGGCCCTCCTGCCGTGGTCACAGCATGCCCTGCATGGTTGGTGCAGTGCCACCGTGCTGGCTCTGCTGCAGCTGGGATTCCCTCTGCTCCCCGCAGATTTGCATGGCACTGGAGTCACTGTGTACCCTGGCAGCATAAACAGCTGGCACTCAATGCCAGGCTTGTAGGAGGTGGGGAGCACAGGGATTAAGTGATTATAGGACTGACACCCGTCATGGTAGCCAAAGAAGATCCACATTCACCAGCAGTCATAAAACCAAATTTAAGGCCTAAATCAAACAGGGTGTAGGCACCACCGTTTCGGGTTTTTTTCCAAAGAATACTTGGCTTTATTCTGTGAGATTTTTTCTGTAAACTATATGAACTGTCCTGGGAACAGAAATTTGGGCCAATGTGCTAAGGGAAGACTGACAAGCAGGCTCATTTTGGTCTCCATATCCTCTGGTCTCTGTGGTCCGTTTGCAATTAAAAAAAAATAATTTCCTAGGTCTGCTAGGACAGTCCAAGTATTTTCCTGGGAGCGAGTTTGACTCTAATCAAGCTAAGGAGGACTAAACACCATTTTTTCTGTTTCTGTGGGAACTATCCAAATCCATAGGCTGCCATAAAAAAGGCATTAATACATTGTACAAAGCATCTTGTGTGAGGAGAGTTAAGACAAAAATTAAAACCACTGAGCTAAGAAAGAAGCTGTGTATCAGTTCGTCCTGTTCAATTTTATTAACTTAAACCCTCACAATTGTATCTGTCGGTTTCGTCTAGGGTTACTGAGTAAATGATCACTGCTTGGGTTTTCTGACTAGGGGCAGTGAAGTGTGTTTGTAAAGTTGTCATTTGCAAAACACATGGTGAATACACTTTTTTTTCTTTCCAAGAGGTCGGGGAGGAAAAAGACATATTTGAGCTTGTTCGAAGTTGCCTGTTCAGCTGACTAGGGACATTAAAAACCCAAGGGAAGCATAAGATAAAGTAAATCTTATGGCTGAACTATTTTCCTTACATTCCAAATCAGGGAGGATAAAGTGAAGAAAGAAGCCAGTTTTTAGCCAGAAAAAAAAAAAAAAAAAACAAAACAAAAAAGTTTTGTCTGCCATGGTTCACTGCATCATCACAGTAGAGACAGACATCTAGTTAAAAGAAAAAAGTTTAAAAAAAAAGTTTTCCAGGCTTCTGAGAGACAAAGGAATTTGTAAATTAATTCAAGACTTTAAAAAATGAACAATTGCCTCTAATATGTAAGGAAACACTGTATAATAAAGTATCTACAATACTTTATAGAAGTGGAAGAGAGAGCGAGTGCATGTGCAATTCCAGACAGATCTGTGTGATGAATGCAAGCTTTCTTAATTCCAAAGTCTTAAATGGGAGTGGCAGCTTCTCTCCAGAAGTGTGAAAGTGTATCTTAAATACACTTCGACATTTCAGCTTGGGAAGAGATGGCTGACGAGGCGTGTTGTAGGGCTCTGCTGACTCCCGAGCAGCACGGACAATTGAGTAGGGGATGACTATTCAGTGTTTGTCAAGATACAAGAAAAAGGCTGTAACCAATGAAGGTATTGCATAAAAGGTATCAAACAAAAGAGCTTTACCCAAAGCCCACAACTGAATTCACTGCCCCCTGATGTTGTAGAAACAACAGTGTAAATGAGTTCAAAAAGCAATTAAAAGAATAAATAGAAGAAAACTTTGCCATGGTCTATTAAAGACAAAGATGTGGCTACAGGCTCTGGTTCAGAGAGAAAACCCACCTATTGCCAAAAACTGGGAACAGACACTGAGGGAAACGTTACTGTGTGTTTACCCACTCAAAATAATATTCCCCTAAGCATCTGTTGCAGACTCTGTCTAGCTAAGTAAGTTTTTGGACTAATACAGTACATTTGGTTTTCTGTTTTGGTCAAATTCTTCTTTCCCAGGCTATTTCCAACTCAAGTAATAAAAACATATGTCCAGTAATAAACTGGGGGAGGACTATCAATAAATACTGCCCACTATGGTTAAAGACAGAGGTGAGAGGTCTTTCACTATGAAAAAGAAGCTGGAGTACCACCATAGAAGCCCAAAGAGAAAGCAAAAAAAATGCTACACAAAGCTCTATTGTAATACAGCACTTACAGAAGTTCAGAGGAACAGAAAAAGCTCTACTATTCACTGGCTAAAGAGGCTTGGAGCTGTAAGCAATGATAACATGTCTGCTTATTTATTTTGGAGCTCAGTAATATAGCAGTTAACTGCTTTGGGAGATAATACCAAAAGCGTACCAGCATCCAACACTGGTACAAAAATACATGAATCGGGCAAATTCTGATTATGTAATTAAGCTTGAGCCTGGAAGAAATGTAGGGAAGACAAGAGTTTCTCCTCACCCCTCCCATTTTCCCTGCTGGTGTCTCAAACCCAAGCTATGGTTTGTCCATCTCCCTACCATGAAGACCACACCATGAGATCACACTGCTTACCACTGATTGTGTTCCTCGTGTGGAAGATGTTGTAACAGGTGTGATGGTGATAGTACTTGTCACCTTGCTGGCTGCAGGTCGTGGGGACAGGTTGCTGCGAGGTGATCGAAGAACAGTACCGGTGACCACCTCTTTCTCTGCCGCGATGTTCACCGGTCGGACTGTTATCACAGGGCTCGCGCCGTCGGGCGCGGCACTGGGAGAACGTTTGAACTGGGAGCCCAAGTGGATGTGGATTTTGTTGTCTTCTGTTGTAATAATGTTGGCATTGGCATTGTACTTGCGGATTGGAGTTGGGACGGTTTGCTTTTCTGGCGTGACTTTGAAGACAGCCCTGCCCATGGTCATGTCTTGTGACTGTGGAGAGACAGAGATTTCTGCCGGCGCTGCAGATGTCGATACTGTCATGATCTGAATTGGCGATGCAGGTCTGTCAGCGAAGGGTGCTCTCCCTCCCTCTGGGGACTTTTCCCTGGAGAATGTTGTTATAGTGACTGGAGACATGGAACGATCTGGGCCCATGGGACTTTCACTGCCTTTTCCTTTTTGTGGCATAACATTTGGGGAAGGAATGATGGTTATTCGTGGCTTCTGATTTCCCAAAGTAGGAATGACAGTGGTACTTGAAAAAAATTCCTCTGCAGATGGACTGGTTATCTCCAAAGTTGCTGTACTGTTCTCATGGTCTGGTGTCACCCGAATATGAAGAGGTTGACCCTGCTTTGGTGAAAGGACAACCTCCCCGGGATGTGCTGGACTACTGTGGCTTCGGGCTCCTTTATCAGGCGTTGTCTGAGCTCCAGTTTCCCTCTTTTTCATCCATGGTATCCAGGATTTCCTCATAGCAAGCTCATTTGCTGCCGGAGGATATCTCTCAAGAACTGAAGAACGCTCCATGGGTTTTTTCAGACCTACCTGTCGCAGATTGCTCATTATATGATTCTCCTCCTGGAAGGATTTCCTTATAAACACTGCTGGAGTTTCTTCTTCTGCTGCTTCATTGCTTAGAGCATCTGTCTGCACGCCAGTGGACGTCACAGGAACATCAACCATTCTTCTCCCGTTCATGCTGGGCCTCAGAGCACGGCTGTAACGCTTAGAAAGCTCCAGCTCTCTTGTCAGATTCAAAACTTCCTGCCCCATGCTCTTGTTTTTGTTTTCCTCTTCCATAAACCTTTGCTGTAGAACTGAATAATCGACTTGGAGCTGAGAAAGCTGGTCTTCTTTGTTCATGAGCTCATGGATTTTTTCCTTAAGTGCTTGAACTTCTGCTTTCAAATCTCTGCTTTTGGCCTCTTCCAGACGAAACCTGTGCCTCAGCTCTGCTTCCTGGCTCACCACTTCTCCTTTTTCTATTGCTTTCGTTTTGGCAATCTGGAGTTTCATCTCCTCCAACTGTTGAGAAAGAAAATTAGCTTTATCCTGCTCAGTCCTAAATTTCTGCTCTAGCTGATCATACTCATCTTCAGTCTTCATCAAATCTCCTTCAACCACTTCCAGTTGTTTGAGACGTTTTTTCAATCGTTCGATTTCAATGGTAAGTTCCTTAATCTTGTTGTCCTCATGACAACCATGCTCTGCTCCTTTCCTAGTTCGACCTCTTGTAATTTCTCTTTCTACTTCCTCCATACCATCAATTCTTTTCTTTAACAGGTCAACTCTACAGCTTAATTCAGATGATTTTTCTTCTTCACTTCTCAGTTTGCCAATTAACTCATCCCTTTCCTTTGTCAAACTAGATACTTTTTCTTCCATTTCAGATTTCAGTTTCAAAAATTTCTTACTTTCTTCTATTAATTTCTCTGTTACATCCATAACTTTCCCTTGTTCAACTTTAAAATTCTTGTTTAGGCCCTCAACCTTTTTTTCCTCCTGCTTTATTTTTTCCATCATATTTTTTCGCTCATCAACCAACATTACAGTAAATGACTTCAGCTTCGTAAGGTCATCTTTTAAGCTTATTTCAGCCTTTTCCAACTTGCTTTCAGATGTCTCAAGGTCCTTCACTCGAGTCTTCACCACTTCCAACTCATTTATCAAATCCTTAGTCAAATTTTTTTCTTTCTCCAAGTTTAAGTGTAGCTGAGTGCATTCCGACTTGCTTTTACTGAAAGCCTCTTCCAGCTTCTCTAATTCTGACATTCTTTTCTGCAGTTTTTCCACTTCAAGTTTCAACTCTTTGCTATGATGCTCTTCCTCTTGCAGTTTATTTTTCAGCTCTTTGCACTGGGATTCGGTTTTTGTGATCTCTTCATCTTTCCCCTCCATTTCAAGCACGCGCTTGCGGAGGTTTTCCACTTCTGCCATTAAGCTAGAGTTCCCACATTCCCCTTTTGCTATTTTATCTCTTAATTCTTGAAGTTCCTCCTCAGTTTTCTGAAGATTTTTGTTAGTTTCTTCTAGCTCCTCTATTCTGCGAGTCAACCCCACTAGCTTGAGCCTTAGTTGTCTATTATGTGACTCTTGATTAGCCAGTTTAGCAGTCATCTCCTCATGTTCTTGACAAAATGATGATGTTTTGTGTTCAAGTTCTGCCTCTAATTTCATCAGTTTTTGTCCATCTTCTTTTGTTTTTGCACTAATAATTTTAAGCTTTTCTTCTTCTTCCTTTAGTTTTTGGGTTAAGTCCTGTATTTTCTGGCTTTGTTGACCAAGTTGTTCAATATGCATTTGTCTTTCATCCACCAGCATGAGTGCAAATGATTTGAGCTTGACTAGTTCTTCTCTTAGTTTACTGATTCTCTTTGTATGCTCCTTCTCCTTCCGGGCTTGATAGATCTTCTCCTGCTCAAGAAGTTTCTTCAACCTGAAACAAGTTAGAAGAGATGCGTTAGACTAAAATGTATATATATGTCTGTGTGTTATCTCTGTATTTTTAAAATCACCTTTATTTTAGCTTCTTTTTTATTAATTAATAATTTATTAATTTTATTTAGTCTTCAAGAAATAACTACCTACTACAGTTGTGTTCCCAAATCAAGTATTTTGAATTACAGAAATTTAAAAAAAAATACATAAAATCATCTAGAAATTTGAAACACAGTAAAATTTTCTACATGTACAGGTAACAAATACATCAGGTTTTAATTCCTTACATTTATTTCTCTGTTAGGATGATGTTGTTAAAAGTATATAATATCCCAACAGGACTAACTACAGGACTAATACATTTATACCAAATTTGTTTTACCAAGTGGATTCCTCTTTATGTCTTGCATACAGAAAAATCTGTAAAATAAGGTAAAAGATTTAAACTAATTGTCATATGCAGCCACACATATACAGACCAATCCTGGTTACAAATAAACCAGCAGGACAGAAGATTACAGTAGCACACAACTGATAACCATCTGGGCATCACAGGCATATGAACTTAGCAGGAAGATAATAGTCACTGTGCTGGAAAATTTAGGTTAAAAGGTTTCTTCTTCTACATTTCACTTAGTAGATGTTGTGAACCACAAGGATCAGACTAGTCAAACCTTTGGCTATAGCTGCCCTCATCTGGAAAACGCTCTTCTCTATATGGCCTCTAAATATGCGTTTTCAGACAATATAAAAGCTCACCATATATCCAAATTAGGTGTCTCCTCAGAAAGATAATAAAGGCATAAATTACCCAGCCTTCACCATGCAACATGGAGTAATATAACTATTTTATACCTGTGATTTATATTCAGGATCTGTTGACACCAACATAGGAAGTTCTTGCACATGTTCTAAGCACAGATTTATGAGGCTGGTGATCCTCAACTGAAAGAATACAGACAACACAGGGATGTATCCCAACCAATCTAAGAGCCTTATTGCAAAAGCAACAGTCTGACTTAGAAAGACACAGGTAGGCACACTGAATTTACTGTGAAATATTTTTTTTTTCAAACCACTGTCATAGTACCTGCAGTTCCCACTTCCTCTAAAAAGACACGAGATTATTCAAATCCACTTGCTTTGCTTACCCTAAGTCTGAAGCTTCTCAGCTTCCTTTTTATAACTGAGACGCACATCCAGGTGGTAATAGCAGAGCAATTAACGCCTGGTAATTAACTTGCAGTAACTGGAACATCCATATCTTAGTAAAGATCAACTTTAATCAATTTTCTTCTTATCTTACATGTTGGATTGTAGATGACAGCAGGTGGAGCACACATATACATTCCTCTCTGCCACTCCAGCAATGAAGTGGTGCCAAGGGCCCTGGGGCACAATGTCATACACAAAGGGTGTCTCCCAGAGCCCTCACCTGAACTCTACACTCCGAGCAAGAGCCAGATTAACTCTGAACTCAGCAACTGTTAATGTTTCACTCCTTGCTCCCGAGGGACCAGAATCAAAAGGAACTGGAAAGAAAAGCCACAAGAAAAGAGAAGGAAGTCAGAAAGCAGAACACAGGATGCAGTAGGTAGGGAAGGAGAAGGCTGAAGAATGCATTTGAAAGCAAGACTCGGATAGGATGTGGGAGTAAGAGAATAGAAGGAACCAGCGGTAGAGAGAAAAACAAACAAACACTGCAGCCAACCTTGCTGGGTCACAGATTATTCTCAAAAGAAAAGTCTCTTTAATTGTGGCAGCTCTTTGGAAAGGACTGAAAAGGCATGCTGGTGGATGCCTCATTATTGGTCAAGTTAAAATGTCAAAAGGTAAAAAAAGACTCACTGTCACTCACAAAGCATGCACTTTTCACACTGAAGAAGAAACTTTATTAGCATGCAATATATTCCCTGGCTACTCTGTCTCAGTGCTTCATGCAAATGTTTCAGCCAAGAACTCTTCCTCATCTCCCCCAGACTATGTTTTTAACGAAATAGTATGTACCCTTCCACAAAAATACTGTTTGCCATGACAGAACAGTGTAGTTGAACCTGGTAGTGCTCTAAATGACACATCTTCCAAAGTCACAAACATAGGAGAATGTTTCCAGCCTCCCTTGTCCCACAAGAAAATTTTAAGGCAACCCCTACAAATTAAAAAACCCCAGAAAAAACGCTTAAAAAAAATCTTGACACCCAAATGCCTAGAGATGCTTAGAAAACTGTCTTTGATTTGTAATTCCTAGGCCTGCACATGTCATTTTCACCCAGCAATTGCTCCAGGGAGTACACGCCAGTGCAAAATAATGCACTGACCACACATGGTTCCACGTGATTACCTGAGAGTCTACTGGGAAAATCTGCCAAGAAAGCCACTGAAAAAAAAATTGCAAATACCTGTTAAACTAAGACAAGAAAATGCCAGTCATGAGGCTGAGCAAGGGAAGAAAGCATGTTAGCCCTGTCACTGCCTTGCAGGAGTGCTAGCAGTGGGGAATAACCAGCTTGGCCCCTCTGGGAAAATAAAGCAACATTCAGCACTTCATTCTGCCTCAGCTTTAGCACAGAGAAACTACATGTCTCAGATAAGACAAGCCAACTTTCAGAGAAGATACTTAACAATACTTCTGTTTTTCATGTATATGGGAACTGCTTCTAATATCCGGGTCTGTGGGGAGGAATTGGAAGGTAGCACACAAATATATGTGTTAATTGTCAAAGTAATTTAAAAATAAAAAAAAATCTATACCTTTTCAGTGTTACTTCTAGAGACTAAAATAAAGCTGAGTTTAAACTTGCTCCCGCTTTTCCATCTTTGTACAGCTTTCATACCTCAGTGGTTAAACTGGAATTTCAGCAGGACTGCAAGGTGAGGTTGTCCCCTCTTGACCCTCACAGCACATTTGCTGCTATCAGGCTTCTCATCTGACTGCTGCTGCTCATGTTTGCTAAGTAACACCGATCTACATGGGCTCCTATGCAACACTAAAAGCCCTTCAGACTCCCAGCACCTGGTCTTCAATGTGTTAGCCAGACCAACTGCATGCTGGATTGTCAAGAGGCTGAAAGCACCTGCATTCAGGATTAAAATCAAAACAAACAAAACCTTTAATACTGAAACATTAGATACAACCAAAACACTGACAACCCAACAATTTGATACCCCCCAGCCCAGTCCCTGTGGTGTCTTGGTTTGTGTTTTTTTAGAAAAAGAAATGAGAAATGTTTGGATACAACTGGATAACCTGCATTCATCAGTAAGAGTCTCAGGGGTTTGGCTGAATGTCCCCAGAATGAAGCAAGCAGATGTGATCCAGTTCTCTGCCCAGAGAGGGACCGTACTCCCTGCCCTCCTGTGGACAGCACTGCTGCAGCCTGTGTGGCATCTCTTTTCCCCAGGAGTACCATGTCAAAGCCTGCAGCAGAGTCAGTTCCTGAATACATGCTGCTGTGGGGGTCCTGGTGCTCTCTCCTTCTCCTTACTATCTGTCCTCCCCACAGTATTTGAGGAACAGGTCCAGTACTCAAGACAGGCACATTACCCCTTGCAGTACTGTATAAACAAGAAGCAAACTCTCAGGTGTGATGACTGTGTGCAGCTGTTAACTGCCTCAGTTAAAAACAAGCACCCCAGGATGCTGCTGCTCAGACTTTGTTCTATAAAGAAAGAAGCCTGACTGGCATGATGCAGGATGCTGGAGTAAGGAAGCTACTGCTGCATGCTGACATGGTCCCTGCTGCACAGGGAGCTGCCTCTCCTGCATCCCCAGCAGCCTTAGCTGTCACAGCCACACCAGGCAGTGCTGGGGCAGCAGGAGAGCTCTGCTGGCAGCAGTGCTGGGGAGGGAGGAGCCTGAAAACTTTCAGCAACCAATCTCAGTTGCAGAGAAAGACATCGGACTGGAGGAAGAGCAACTATGGAATTAGTTTTAACAACTCTCATGAATGGTGTGCTGGAAGTAGCTAGCAAGGAAGAATGTAGGAGAGGATGGGCAATAACCAGGCTGTCCCTCTCCTCCTGCCTTTAGGTTTGGCGCTGAAGTGTTTCACTGCACAGTCTTTCTGCTTCCCCTTCCCTCCTCCAAGCTATGAATCGATCAACAGAAGTGCAGTGGGATTCTGATAGCTACAACTCTATTCCTCCAGTGATGTGGCTTCATTTCTTTAGTCATGGCTCCTCTCAAAAAAAATCCACTTCCAAGTGTTTAAAACAGAGCATGCAAAAGCAAATATCCCCCCAAACATTTATTGATAATCATATCAGTGTGTATCTGCCTTTCTATTTGTACTTCCAGCAAGGTGAGAAAACATCACAGGTACTCGTACAACCTTTTCCACTTCTAGCATACAAATGGGCACTCACCCACACAAGGAAATCCTGGGAAAGCAGGGCAAGCCAGATGATGCCCTGAAAGGCCATAGGCTGCTCCCATGGTTTGCATACACATCAGCATTTCAGCACCGCAGTTCAGCTGTGTTGGCCTGTTTTAGCCCCCTGCTCTGCAAACAAAGTCAAGCTTCCCAAGGTGTCTCCCAGTGTTTAATTAAGCACTCAAAGGTGGAGCTAATGAAGAGGGCAATCTGGAGGAGAGGGATTTCTCTTGTTATCAAAACTGGCAGCAGGAGGAACAGCAGTCAGAAGAAAAAGGATGGAAAGGAGGCAAGCAGGTTAAGGTCTCTAGGGGACCTTACTGAGTTCATATCCAGGCTGGAGACCCACAGAGTTTCTCACTGCTGCTCTAGCACAAAGCTATGTGACTTCCCATTCCTGTAGTACCTTACTTTGCCATTTACATTCCAAGAAGTCTGTTGCTATGGGGTGTAATGACTTCTATCCCATTTCACGGATGGCCAGTAAGTGGGGGTTAAGGCAAATACATTAATGAGGACTCGGTCACTCTAAGGATCAGCTGACTGAGAGCTGATGAAGGCTGCTTCCTCCTGAGGGGCCAACAGCATTTCTGTGCCACTCACAAAACAATCCCAAGAGAATTTC